GGTATAACTAAATATGTTCACAAGTATTAACGATTATTTTTTCATTTTTTAAACTTTCGAACAAAACTTCTTTTAAACATATATAAATATGATAAATTTAAACATTATAAAGTTTTTACTAAGTTTTGCATTTTTGTTTGTTTAAAAAATTATCATACTAATGTTATTATTATAGAACAGATTTACTGGAAACTTTTAGGTCACTAGTATTACATTTTAATAGGAATTTATATTAAAATAAAAATTATTAAATAAATTATAATATCATTAAAAAAAAAAACATTATTTACTTCTTTACTCAAAAAGACAAATTTAAATTGCAAGAGCATATGATATATGTATTATATAAACATTAATACATTTATACTTTAAGTGACAATCCAGTGTATAGTAATAAGAAATATTAAAATATAGTTATTAATTTATCATAAAAAAAATCAACTGTCTTAGTTATTCGCAAAATGTGAAGTATTCTTCGTAAATATTATAATAATATCGTATTTTTTAAAAAAAATATTGTTTTATTTTTCATATTGGCTGCATATTGTATTCATATCTTATACTACAATAAATGACAATGCCGTAAGAAAGTTTTTCGTGGTTAATCAATAATCTATAAATGGAACATGTGTCAGTGCGTTACAGAATGATAAAATCCTAATATGATGTCATTAATCACATTGTCTCAAACTCTAAAAGATCTAACTCCTGACCCTTTGCATCAAAATTAATGAGAACAAACATTTTTAGAGATAATTTCGACAAAGAATAGTTTTTATACCAGTATACGTCCGTAATCTATTTGGGATGTAATTTATTAGCGCGAAAAGAAATACACAACATCGTACAACTGCGATTAATCAATATTTTCAACTGTATTATGTTTCGTATATATATATATATATATACAAAATATACTAAAATACAGTTTACACAATGAATGCAGAACAAAACCTTTGCCGTGGTTTTTGAATTATTTAATATTTTACTCAAAATTGTTACAGTAGTTAAATAATTATATTAGCACTTTATTTACTTTTTGAAAAAAATAAATTGTTGTACATACATACATAAAATGTTTTGCCTGAGATTTGTTAAACAGGATGACAAATGCTTTTATTGTTAAAGTGTAACAAACAACAAAGGTATCTATAAGTGAAAATACATTCCTTGAACTCCGTCCAGAGTCTATAAGAGATTCGTACGTATATTTTTATACTGTCAGATATTTTTTTAAATATTAAATGAATATTATTTTTTTTTTTACTTTTGACAAAATTGTCAATATATACCATAATAATGTAATAAAATACTTGGGCAATCTTACATAGAAGTATCTTATTATTTGATAATTACGAGTATACAGTCACTAATAAATTAAAATTACTTTGATTGGATAAGATACGTTATTGATAAGATTATACATAAATATAATATCTTTAAATATTTTAACTATCACGATATATAATATTCATTAATAAATATAAAATAAACATTTTTAAAACAAATAATTGTACAGAAATTGTCAACAAATGTATTGAAAACTCAGCAGTAATAACTGATACTAACATTTGTTACTACAAAGGATATTAAATTTAATTAAAATTAATCTGATTTGCCATTTAGAATATAAAATAAATAATATCAAATAATAATACTACAAAAATAAATATTTAAATTTATAATAATCTAATTAATTAAGGAAATATTCCTAAGACAGAAGTGTATGAAGTGTTTTGTTTTGACAAGGAAACGGATAAGTTAATGAAAAAAAAAAAATGGTGACAAAAGATTTGATTTCGATATACATATGTATCTGAAAGCTATGATAAATCGATGTACTCAGTAAACGATGTATAAGTGGAGCTTGGTTTACTGTAATGTTTGAAGATCACATAAGATAAAATATTTGTCAAGAATACTTATACAATAAGATATGGTTGAGTATAAATTTGAAGACTTAGAACCCCAAAATTATATAATATGTATTAAAAAAATAAATTATTGTATAATTTGGGATCAATTAGAATTTGGATAAATCAAGAAAACAATTGTTTTGCCGTAAACTTTATAAATTTATAATCCTTATAAATAATCAATAAGAATCCCCTAAAATAAATATGAGAAAGTGTTTTTATTCGAGTGCTAAGGTTTACCCCTGAAATTGATAGTTCTATAAAAAAAAAAGAAGAAAACAAACTAAAAACATTCTAAATTTTACTTTTAACCTTTTATTAATTTTATTTATTTTATTAAAAAAATGTACCATAATGTATTTATAAGTTTAATAATCCAGGACACATCAGTTATTCTTTTTGGTTCTTTTTCAAAAATATTCAAAATTTTTTCCATACGCAATAATTTTTTTATTTCCTTGCATTACTTTTTGTTTTTATTTCGCCAATAACAAAAGAAACACAATAATTTTTGATTTTTTTTTGTTATTTTTTTAGTATATTAAAAAAAAAAAAAATTGGTCCCACTTACCAGTGGCGTAGCTAGGATTTTCTGAAGGGGGGTGTTAATTATAAATATTAAATATTATATATAATACGTACAAACTAAAACTTTTATTTTAATTAATTAATATGTATACATAATGCCTGTACTAGAGATGTAATGTATATTCGAATATTCGAATAGCCTCACCGTAAATTATTCGAATATTTGACTATTCGAATATCAGTATTCAATGTTACAATACCTATTATTATTAAACATTTTGTGTTACGTGAAAACTTAAACGAATAATTTTCGTCACGTATTGTATTTTAGCATCAAATACTGATATTCGAATGGTCGAATATTCAAATTATTTACGCTAGACCTATTCGAATTCGAATGTTAACCTGTATATATGTAATTAGTATTGTGCATTATTTTATATTTCATATTGTATTATCGATTTACCTATGTTCCTATAATAATGTAGTATATGATACGGCTCAAGGGGGGTATCAATTTACCAAATACCCCCTTTGTATACGCCACTGCCACTTACTATATTCGTGTAGGGATCCAAGAGTTCATAACTTGTAATACATTTATGTTAAGTATATTTAAAACTATTTCTATTAGTACAACATTGTCGTAGAGAAACAAAAAATAATATATATTTTCTTGAATACGTTTATAATACAACTATATATACATAAAAAATTCATTTTTATTATTTAATGAATATCAAATTAAATAAATGTTTAAACCAAAATAAAAAAACACATGGTAAAACTAATAAATTTTTAGTTTGTTTCACTCAGAATCTAAAATTATTATCCCAAGTGTATACCTACATATTGTATACTTACTGATCAAATAATAATTATTACAATAATTATAATTAATAATATTAAAAAATCTTTAACACAATATGTTGTAAAATGAATTAATACAATGTTCTTTGAAGAAAAATGTAATACTTGTCAAATAAGTAGTTATTACCAAAATAAGAATTTTATTTAAAATTAAACATTTTATTTTTTGGAACATAAACAATTATGTTTTAAACATTTATAATTTATAAGTAAATAATATTTATCTAATTATCTATTGATTCCGAGGTTTTTATTAATATTTTTTTAAAATCATGAGAACTACAAGGAACACAATTTCAATAATAAATTTGTTACGATTTCAAATGTAGAGTGCTTTTTTTTCAATACTAAAGTTGCCTAAAATTATATTTTCGTTTGTCCCGTTACATCAACTATAGATTTTCCCGTTTGTTCTCTATTGGACCCTGAAGTTATCAATGATTTTTGTCTTGAAATTTATGTTAGTTGAACATTTATTTGGTGACCTCTTTTTTTAATCTGTAGTGTTGGCAAAAATATTTATGCTTGATATGGAGTATTTATACTTCCCAATTTAGTTATTGATGCATGCGTATTGTTTTTTTGTGTCACAAGTCTTTAAATAAGCAACACACTTTTTAATTTCGTATTTAGCCAAACAGAATTTTTTTTTTTATATAGATGTATATAAAACAAACATCGAATAGTACTTAGTAGAATAAGTAACTTATAAATATATAATAAATATAATAAGAATAGTTTTTGCATTTACTTCTATGCATATTTAAAGCTTAGACGAATTAAGTTTGTCATGTTAGGTTAGGTTGCCCTACAAAAGGTTAATAGTTACTTTAACAAATTTACAAATATATTAAATAACTTTTTTGTATCCTTTTACCCAGAAGCTCAGGTTAATGCATACAAAAGTGTTCAAGAGTGTAGTATGTTTAATCATTTTCATTCACTCTCTGGTGTAAAAAAAGTCTGAGAACTTCAACATATTTTGTCGGGCTGTTACGAAAATATAATACTTAGGTACTCATTCGTATAAAACGGTCACATGCGTCACATATAGGTACTTATATATTTTCAATATGTTGTTGACTACAAATAGTTGTAACAATTATTCGAGAAATATTTAAATACATTTTTTTTTTTTAACCGATTTCTATTTTAATTAAAAAATGATTAGAAATGGAAATTGTGTATTTTTATGCTTAGTTCGTATTCAAATATTGTATATAGATATTAACGATATTTTTTTTTTTAAATGAAAATTTCATATTATTTTTCAAGTGGTTGGTAAGCAACTGCACAAATATGGGGAAGTTGAGGGTTGTGACTCCCCAAGTATTTAGTTAACTTAACCTCATTCTTTCCACCAAACACACTAATCCAAAATTACATTTTTATCAAATGCATAACCCCTCCCCCCAATCATCTGAAAATAAATTCTGGTTGCGCCGCTGTTTGGCAAGTGTCCTACCTTGCGGTGGACCAAATGACGTGGTGGAAGAAGAAGACAGCAATAGCCTCAGTCATCTTCCCACCAAAATACGTTTCGGTTTTAACGCGGAACAATTGGTTTGCGGAAGACGATACGATGTCCCGAAAACGAATTGGGCGTATACTATTCCATGGAGATAAAATGAAAATATGTATTCTTCCATGAAAAAAGAATCTTCCAAATCAGTCATTATTAGATAAGATAAGTGCCGATTTCGTTTAATAAATTGATCAATTTTTGGTCGACAATTTTTTTTGTTAATTTTGTTAGTTTTCCGTTTTTAGCTTTAAGTAGTTTAAAATGAAGTACTTTCTAGTCATATCGTTATCGTTATTGGTATGTTTATCTAATTGTAAGATTGAAATTGAAGAAGTTGATGAGTTTGAAGAGTTTGAGGAACTGCCCAGAACTGATGCTGATCTGAAAACTAAGGAAGAACCTTCTCCTGTTGCCGATAAGGCTGAATCCGAAATCACTGTTGAAGTATATTTAAAATCGAACACTGTTCGAAACAAATATATTGATTTTCATACCATTATTATTTTCCAGGATGATGATGAATTTGAACATTTCAATGATGAAGAGGAATTTGAGGGTTTCGATACTGAAAGATTACATGTTGAAGACAAGGATCCTAAAATAACCATTGCATCAGTACCAGTACCTTTTCCTATCAAATGGTCAAATTACATTATGGAATCATTGTTGATTGTGGGAATTGTTACATATTTTATCAACTTTTTTTACGGCCGATCAAAAAATGCTCAATTAGCAGATATATGGTTCAAAACTCACAAATCGTTATTAGAAGATAATTTCTCTTTAGTTGGTTTGTATACATAAGTAGATTAAATTAGATTAAATAATTTGTATATTATGAAAAATAATTTCATTCTAAAATTTAGGAGATGATGGTAAAATTGAAATAGAAAACAGTGGTTTAATCAAAGAAACTGAAAGTACTTATACCTTGTGGTGTAGTGGCCGTACGTGCTGTGAAGGAATGTTGGTTGAATTAAAATTTATTAAGGTAAGGAAATAAACTTTGATAATGTAATAATTTTAATTATCATTTAAATAAATACAATAATTTATAACCTTATTTTATTTTTCCTTGTTCAACGCTTATTTTAGAGGCAAGATTTAGCTTCAATGTTGAACCAATTTTTGCGTCCTGCAAAGGATGAAGTACACATTAAAGTTGACATGAACAAAGAAGATATGGATACATTTGTATTTTGTGTGGCGTCTAAAAAAACAGCAGCTCGCTGTTCAAAAGAAATGGCTGATCTTGTAAGAAATTGTCATGATATTTTTACTTGGGCTTATTTGAATTTTTTCCTTTTCTTTTAGAGTGTATTCTGTCCAGAGCGTAAACCTGGAGCCAATTATGGTTTAATGGATAGTTTTAGTGTACATAGTGAATTAGGAGAGGTATCTTCAACTATTTTAGATGCAAAGACTGTCAACTATATTAACAAATATACAGATGTTATAGATTGTTTACATTTTTCCGATAGATATTCAGGACTTAAATTAACTGAGTAAGTTGTTTTATTTTTAAATATAATAATTGTTAGAATACTGTCTACAGATACTAAACATTGATTATAACGATTTTGCTAACCTAATGTTAATTTTAAATTCTACAACAATTTCAATAAAGGCAGACTTAAAATGTTAAAAGAAGTATTGGAAATGTAGCGAGCTGTTTGAATTAATGATATAATTAAATTTAAAACCAAACCTATTTAAATTCTAAGTTCTAGTATTTTAATTTGGCTTTGAAAAAAAAAAATTGTGCTCTAGTATCACAGAAATTATGTATATTTTACTCATTCTTATTCATAATTTTTTCATTTTCCTTATATATTTACATAAAATAATGTAAAGAAACTGGATTTATTGTATTTACTTTTGTAACCTGCCTAAATTACTTGTTTAATAATTGGGTTTTATTCTTATGAATGCTAATTGATACTGCTTTCTGTATTTACTTTAATACTCTCCAAAATACTTATACAAAACTTTTAGGTATTTATTATTATTTTTTTAGGCATATATAACTAATAAAATATATATTTTAAATTAAATTAGCTATATAATTAAAATAAATTATCATTACATTTTTTTTTTTAATTTAGTGAAACAACTGTTCCCACTAAACTACCAGCAGTCAAAAAAGTATTAATGTTTACATTTACTATTCCTACTGATAAATATGCTGATCCTCAAGAAGCTATTAGTTCCATTTATCCTCTAATGTCCTTTGTATTTCAATGTATGGAACGTATTAAACGGTTAAGAATTAGTAAAGAGGCTAAGATTAAAGCAGAAAAAAACAGATTACGTGTAGAAGAAGCATTTTTAAAGACAACGCATGCAGCTAGAGCTGAAGCTGCTGCTGCAAGAAAAGAAGAAAAGAAAAGACTAGAAAAAGAACGAATTTTAAAAGTAAATTTATTTATTTATTTTTTTTTTTTAAAGGAATGAATCTGATTTTTATTAATTTATTCAGGAGGATCCAGAGAAACAACGCAAGTGGGAAGAGAAAGAGATGAAGCGTCAACAAAGGAAAAAGGCTCCAAGAATGAAACAATTAAAAGTGAAGTCTATGTAAAAAAAATGTGACAGTACATTTTTAGTTTTTGATGTTTTCATCATTTGTTTTTGGTTTAATTGATTGGTAGTTGACTTTTTTTTTATTACATTTTTCATATTTGTTTATTATTTGTTTTTTTAATATAATTATTTTATATTTATGTCATGTGCCTTGTATAATAAATTGTATCAATTTCTCCCAATCTAAATAATAATATAATTTCTTTTATTATTGTATCAAATTTAAAATTAATGTGGGTTACCTATATTTAAATATTAGGTATGTTCAAAACAGACTGACATTCGATAAAAAAATATGCCTAAATTATAAATATATAATGTTAATTTTATATTAATATAACATATATACTTACATTAATATTCTTGCATAAAGGATATAATGCTAAAATTAATTATGTATACAATAAGCTAAACTAATTTTTGATGATTTAATCGTGTTGATAGTTACTATTGTAGAATAAAATGTGTTCATTAATGATATAAAAATTTTTAATGTATCTTATCATTGTGTTTAGGTTAATCATGTAGAGTAAAGATAATCAATACATAAAATTCTGATGTTCATTAACTTTAGTCGGTGAAACTTGAAATTTCCTGGTAAATCATACTCAGTTGGGTTAATATTCAATATAAATTAGCTATAATAATAATAATAACCTTAGTTAATAGCTTTTCTCTTGTATTTTGTTTTTTCAAAATCAACATAATATATTATATTTGGTTTTGTTTATATTAAGAGAAAACCCAAAACTTTTGCTTACATCCACTATTCTGTTCACAATTTTTTGAAGGCTTGACATATTCACGAATACAACTATATCATAGGTGTATCTTATATTATTGATACATTCACCATTTACTTTTATGTCATCATTAACTTCACCCAAGGCTTCTCCAAGTATGAATTCCAAATATAAGTTAAATAGGAGTGATGACAGGAACACATCCCTATCTCATTCCTCTTCTTATTATTGAAATATCATATGACATTTCTGGTTGTACACATATAGCTGAAGTTTTGTTCCAGTATAAATTTTGTATTATACTCTGATCTTGATCATCATTCCAGTCACTCAGTATTTTTATTAGTATTTTTATAGTTTTATATCATGTTCAGCTCTAAGCTTTATCGAAAGCCTTCTGATAGTCAATGAAGCAAGCATATACATTGTGATTGACACCCATAGCACTTTCTAAAACCAAATTGTGTACTACTTTGATAAATAACTCTAAAGACTAAAAGTGTGAAAGTCATTACATTTTTTTGCTGTAGGTAGGTTTTTTGCCGAGTACTGTGAATGTAAATTTTAATCATTGTACGGGTAATTTTCGAGCACTGTATATATTATAAATAACTTAGCCAAATAATGTGTTCCTCATATAATAATTTAAAATATTCTCGTGTATTAAGTTATTACTCGTTATTATTTGTATTATTTTTTTTTGTTTTTATATAATAATAGACAAGAAAAAAAGAACAGTTGAATTTGAAAACTGATAGTTTTTTTCTGAGTAGACCAAATTATTTTATTTGCCAGATCACTTAAAGGCCTTTTATCAGTCAGTTTGATTTACCACCAGATGTAGTTGTTTTTTAATGTTTTCAATATTTTACGTCATTATGAGACTTAATATGTATTTATATCATTTGCCAAACATTTTTTTTTGCATTTTGATTTGTAACCTTTGGTCCATATCTACTAGACCGTTTATCATATTTCATAAATGTTCCGCCTTCTTTAACAGGACATATTGTTTGGTAAACATCGTCAAAATCTGTCTCACGTGATCAGTTTGAATGGTTAGAAATTATTGAAAACTATTCCAATATCTTTTTTTATATTTTGCTGACTTATTTTTGCATAATTGGAAATTTGTTATTTGCTATTTTGATTTTTTAAGTCTTTCAATTCCATATCATTTAAAACTTTTTTTTATTAATAATTAATTAATTCTTCTTCTTTTGTTTTAAATTATATATTTATTTATATCATATAGCGACGCCATCGATAATTTAATAATAAGAGTTATTTTTTTTTCCTCATATTTTTGTATTATTAGTCTATATTTAAGCACTTTTATGAATATTTTTATGAGCATATTATAGCGTTTATAACTACCATTTTTGAGCTGTAAGTTACGAACCCCTTGCTGATAACCTATAGATAAACACAACAGGGATATAAGGTTCGAAACTTAACAATAATAAAATTTAATAATAATTTGTTATCATTATTATAACGAAAAATAATTACCTACTATAGAAACGATATTTTCGTCTTTATTATTTTATTCGTTATTTACATTATCATGAAGTTTTTCTCGAAAAATGTAGATTGGAATACATTTTTTTTTGCATTTTATCAATTATTAAAATTGTTTTTTTTCTTTACTGAAAAAAAATAAAAGAATAAGAAAGAATGTATTATTTCTCTGCTTGCATTTCTTACATACACTCACAATTATAATTTATATCGAACGAAAACTTTATGAATTTATAAAATATAAGAAAACTAATGATTTTGAGAATAACCACAAGTATTTTATTGATTTTTTTCTACCACCAAACTTCCAAATGTTAAACCTGTAGTTAAAGTCTCGCAAAGTATTTTACTAGATTAAGAATCTAAAACTTTTATGTGGTCATCAATTATTCATATCAAAATGTCAAGTTTATTAAAATAAAATTGGGTCAAAAATGAATTTTCTTATAACAATTATGACATTATTTTGAAAAATATTCTGAAGTAGCTTCTCTCTGTCTCAAACAAATGCCCTTGCCGTTATACGATAATGCTGTTACTACAAATAGGTAGGCTGGTAGAATATTGTCTTCGTGTACGTACCTTAACTCATGATTATTCGTGGTTCGGTGCTCCAAACAAATGCCTAGATATTGATTGCCTTGAAAAACTTCTGAAATGCTCGTTAGCAGCATGTTTGAAGATATATCCACAGAGCAACTGGACGGAAAACGAATAACTGGGTGGGAGCAGTACTTGATGTTAACGATGAATTCGACTTTGTGACATATGGGTAAATTTGTATTTGCAAAATTTGAGTGAAAAACATACTATTTAGTTTTTACTATCAGATAACGGTCACAGTTCACACAGTCCAATACTTCTAAATATTTTAATACCTCATACTGACAGTAAAAGCCATAATTTCTACGAATACTTCATTCCTTAAGGCAGGAACACCTTTTAAATTTCTTAAGATTTTTTTTTTTAAATAACTTTCAATAGCTTATTTTCTGCATCTCGTTTTTTTTTTTTTTTTTTTTTCTTATAAAAACCCTTGACAGCATAGTTCATTTTATTCATTATCATAAGAACATATATTTCATCAAGTGGCGCATTTATAGTATAAATTGTATACATAAGTTGAAAATATATGTACTCGTATTTAACGATTTAACGAATATAACTTATTCAAAATTGTCAGATATAGTTAACAGTTATGAATTAGATGAAGTATTGATACGCTTTTCTCTCCATTCGTATATGTTATGAGCCATGAGCATACGATCCGAGACAATGAAGCAAATATAATTCTTTAAGTTATTAGTTATTGCAAGTAAAATAAGTATAATCCTTTCATTATTATTCCATATCCTTGCTCTAGCGTTGAGTCGTCATGAAAACGTAAAAAACCACTAGAGCGAGCAGTATGTACCGTTTTGGATTGCGAATGTTAACTTGATGAAAAAATTAATACAAAAATTCGACAGAGAGAAATAAATTTGTTGGCTAAGTATTTTTCCAGACATAACAAATTGTTGCTTAATTTTGGTTTATTATCGTCATAGATTTATTATATATGTTTCAGATATCTGATGATGGTAATAAAAATAAAAATTAATATCACAAAAACGTAGGTGTTATTGAATGTATATCGCTGTGCTTCATGAAAAAAAAAAAAATTAAATTACTGTTAGTTAGGGTTAGGTTTTACGTTGTAAAGCGTTAAGAGGTTTCAAATTTAAAATATATTATCTACCGAAATAATTAACTGTGTTGTAATTACAAAAATTATTATGATTTGTAAATTGTATAAGGTAAGGTATAGATGTGGTTTGTCAGTTAAGACATGACGTGTGTATCTATATAGTATGTAAAAATCTAAATGTTTTTGTTGTTTAGAGTGTGGAGTCATACCTTTGAGCTGTTGGATGAACAGACCAGTAATTTAACTGTTTAAACTATATTAGCTATTAAAATGCATTTGACGGCAATCATTAAAAACGGTATGATATTTCGATGAAATGTTATTAGTTAAAATTTTTTTTGAAAATGTTAATATTGTTTTTGACAGACATTTTAGATTGACTATCAGTAATTTTCTATACATTTTCAATAATAGCTTAACTGAATATTTTTTCCATAAAAGGATTTCAACGTCCCGATGACCATAATATTATCGATACGTTATAGGTACCTATTAGAACGTCCTGATTTACAAAAAAAAAACTGAAAACTGATTTAAATTTACTAATATTGACTATCTGTTTCTCATATGTTTCTTAATTATTACTTTAATATTATAGTCATAAATTATTATAAGATTAATTTAATTTCGCGTGAAATAGAAAAAATAAATAAATAGGAAATTGTTTCAAGAAATATTTTATTAATTCATTAGCATTATAGTTTTTAATTCGGCGAATAAAGTGATTTTTTGTGAGTAAAAAAAACTGTGTAAAGGAAATTGAAATGATAAATTAATAATTATTATATGAAAAGCAATCAGCACCAAAAGTTTGGTAAAAATAAATTGTTGAAATCATACAAGCCCTACTTGTCTCGAATTTGATACCATTGTAAATCTTGGTGAGTTAGTCGATAACTAACAAACAGTCGTAGAACTATGTTATTACTATTGTATGAAAAAAGTTTTGAGAAGTTTTTTATTTTTTTAACTAGTATTTTTTGGCCATAAAATAAAAACGTCCGTGTTCAATAAAATAAACAGTTGTTTATTGTAAATAAATAGTAAATATCTAGTTTTGGAGTCATTAAATTATTGAGTAACTTTTTGTTTTATAGATGTGCCTTCGTATATGTTAAATCATTATTGCCCTTGTTTATTATTTACTGTCAGAAGTTTCTTATTTGGTTGATTGATTCGTATACATTTTCAT